CAAGAGAACTTTTTAAAGAAATAAATCCAGCATTTGAAAGTATTTGTGGGGTGTCCTTTAGTGAAGCCTTGTCTCAAATACCAGAATCCAATCTAAAAATAAAAGAGACAGCAAATGAGAAAAAGGCTGCCCGCAGAAATATGTTAAGAAAAAACAAAGAAAATATTGAAGCTGAATGGAAAGCATCATCTGTAGAAAGGTAAATTTTGATTGCAAGCCCTTGTGAAAATGGTGAATTTTATTTTAATAAAATTAAGGGCTATATAGAAACTGAACACACTGTAAATCCTATTTAAAAAAAAAAGTATTTAGCATGAGCTACTAAATAAATAATAATAAATAAAGCTTTTTTAAATTAATATCTAAAACAGATGCCTTGGATCTAGACAGTCATTTGCTTCCAGGCAAAGAGACAGACTTGCCACTGGGTTTGAAACCAAACAAAGAGCAAGAGAAAGAATTGCTCAAGATCAKCCAAAGAAGAGAAAAAACCATTCAGGAGACTTTWCAAGAATGAGCTGKGATAAAGCAGGCCTGAAAGCTGAAGTAGACAGCTATCCAGATGGAACAAAAGTTAACTGGACAGAACTTGCCAAAAGATATAGTATTACAAACAGACAYGGAGAAACTGCAAAGAATGGAGGCCAAATTGCTCAGGAATTTCTGATCAAAGAGGGGATAAAAATAGATTTAAACGCCCAGGACAAGAGTGCCAAGGTCCATGTGTAAGGAGAAAGAAACTCCGTGGAATAGGAGGTAAATGCTACCTTTACTTATGACACTATGTATACAAAGATTGTACAGCATTGTGTGTAAATAATGTCTTTGTAGAATATAATATGGAGGGGAGGAGGAGGGAATGAAAAATATAAGAAAATTAGATTTAATTCTTTGAATTTGCTCTATCTTTACAGGTGAAATATCAATTCCAGTGCCAAGCTCCAATCAGCATCTCAAAGAMATGATTAAAGTAAAAATACAAAAGGGAGAGTATACAATTGGAGAGTTGGTTGTCCCAAGGAAGTATGAAAAGCTTATACTTGATAAAAATGGAAATGTAGTCAAAACAGAATTTACTGTTGAAGGAAGGAAACGACCACTTAATGAAATAAGGGAAAAAATGATTGACAAGCACAGGGTTTATATGAGACAACACCCAGATACATTCTATGATGATCTTTMTAGATTAGAAGTAGTAGAAATGCTCAAGAAGCTAGGAGAATTTSATGATGGAGAAAGTCTTGCTTCCATGCGTAACAAGCTTAAAGACATAGAAAGGACAAGACATCTGCTTGTCTGGCATGATCACTCAACAGTTGCCAATCATGGGCACTTAGTTTTCATGGTCTTGTGTGTTTATGACCCTGCATTGTATTTTACTCCAGATGAATTTCAACAAAAATCAGGAAGAAAAGTTGACATACAAGCAGAAGTAGAGAGGCCAGAAATTTACATAGTTGGTAGATGTAGATCTACAGATGTAGAGCAGTTAGCATATTGTGAGACAAGATGTGAGTGCTTGCAGGGCTTAACTGCAAACCTAGAATTAAGTAATGGCATTACCATAACTGACATAATGAGATTTTTCAAAGGAGATGGGCCAGCTGTAGCTTTTGAAGCTGGTCAACAGAAGGGTGGTCATTATTTTTGTTTATCTTGTGGGATGCATGCTATAAGAAGTGATGAACCAGATCACTTCTTTAGATGCAAGCATCTGTCTATGACAGACCGCCAAAAGTTGGTTTTGAAAGGGCCTCAAGGTAGAAAGGGGTCACTTCAAAAGAAACCAAAGCCATTTGAAAACCTTAAAAAAGAAGAGCTGAAGAAAGAGTTGAGAGAAAGAAGACTTTTATACAGTGAAAATGACCTCAAGCCAGAATATGAGAAAGAACTGACAAGTGAGCTGAAAGGAGTACAGAGGGTACCAGCATTATTGTTCCTTAACCCAACACARAAAATTGATCATCTTAATCTTGGCTCATATGAAGTCCTCCCCTGTGAACCTATGCACGATATCTCCAATCAYATTTCAAATATTCTAGAAGAGATTCCAAGTCATCTTCAAAAAGATCAAAAAAAGAAATTTGATGAGATTCTTGAGCTTACTCTTGGAGACAAAGAAATAAAGAGARCCACAGATTACAGAGCAGCTCTGGTAATCTTTGCCAAGCAATTAAGAGGCCACATTCCTTGTACTATTCAATGTATTCTGGACACACTGGTAGAGATGCAGGCTATTCTCTACTCAGATGACATGAAAAGATGCCCACGCCTTGTCCTTCGCTATCATAATTGCAGCTTCCTACACTTTGTTATGTGTCATAATCAGTTTGGCTCCTCCCCAAAAGCTCTGAACTCWAGAAAACTCTATGGAAAATACTTACATAATCTTGTTTCTCATGCTCCTATCCAGCTTCGCCTCATCTCAGGAATGTCCTGTAATGCAGAAGATGAAGAAAGAATGTTTAGTACCATGAAAAGCATAACACAAACAACATCTTGTAACAGACCAGGTCATATTATTGGCAACCTGCTAGTAAGAATGCAAGCTGAAGAGAACATGGGTAACTTTGATGACTTTTTAAGTACATCAGTTCAGTCCGACAATGTGTCTAAGCTATCTGCTGCCTTGCCAACTTTTTCTAACACAGTCATCAAGGAAAATATTTTACAACATCCCATATATTCCAAATGGTACCAAGCCCATCTTGAGCGAATAAGCGATTTCCTTTTGCCTGGAGAGGGAGTTTGGTGGAAGAGGGACGGTGAGAGTGTGGAGTTCTTTGATTCAAACACTGAGCCTAACGCAAAAGACCAAGGCCCGGTTCTACACCACTTCAGGTCAAGTAACTTAAAGAAAGAAGAATCATATCTGTCTTCATGCTGGGAGAAATGTGTAGAATTCCTAAATGAAAGTTACAAGCTTCCTACACACTTCCTTTATCTACCAAATGCCAGTGGAAATGTCATACGCATAACACATACTTCTGAAGACCAGAATGTAGTTGATTCTGCAGATGAGAATGAGAATGAATCCTTAGAAGAATGTATGCCATACTCTGAAATTATACCAGAAAATCCACAGCCCTCACAAGCACAGCAGTCAGGGAATAACAAAGATGAAGATGATGAAGAAGAGCAAGTCTTAGATTTACAAGAAGTTGATGACATGGACAATTGCTCTGAATTGGTGGCTTCTAATAATGCACAACCTACACTACACATGCAAGTACATATTTCACAAGAACATCAGTCTTCATCCTCTATCTATTCTTCTTCCAGCCCTAAAGCAGGCGAAGACACCCCCACAGCTGACAAAAATCCAACACAACACTTTACAATACAAACAAACAATACATTACAAACCCGCCTTGGCAAAACAGTAGAAATTCTACTTGGAAACACTCCCGAGGTATGGCAGTTTGACTCGGCTCGCAGCAGACTGAAATTTTCTCCACAAAGCAGAGACCTCATAAGTGAGTATGAAGAGAGACTAGCTGTGATCCAAACAAGAGTACTGGCAGCAAAGAGCACACTCAAAGAACAACTTAAAGACTGGGAAATAAACTACTATCTTAACAATGATTTCAAAATGGTTACGCTTGACGAAAGGAAAAATGATCCAGTGGCATCTGTTTATGTAAAAAAGCTAAAATATGCTGACAAATTACTCAAAGAATGGAACATTAGTTTTTAGCCTTGAACTTATTAAATTATCATGAATTATGGTTGTACTATAAAAAAAAAAAAAACCTCGTAATATAAAGTAATTTTTTACTGATATCAAATACAGAGATTTTAGTAACAAGGCACGAACAATGTTAGGCTTATCGCCTCTCTTGTAT